TCCAAAAACCTCATCGCTAAGCGAATACATCATTAAACGAGGCAATCGCTAAGCGAGGCACCACTGTATATTAACTGTTTTTATCTTGTCTGTTGTGAGCCACCCAGAGTAGACAATGTCTAGACGGGCAGCATAGAAGTGCAATAATAAACAAACAAACAAACAAACAAACAAACAAACAAACAAACAAACAAACAAACAAACAAACAAATAAATAAATAAATAAATAAATAAATAAATAAATAAATTTGAGGACAGGGCTTACAGTTGGACTGGCACATCTGTGGGATCAGTGCCCACAGTTTCACTTATCTGCTGTCTCAATCAATCAATCAGTTACGCATGCACTGGTAACATCCTGTATAGATTACTACAATGCACTGTATGTGGGGTTGCCTTTGAAGATGGTCTGGTGACTGCAGCTGGTTTAGAATCGAGCTGCGCAGCTGGTGAGTGGTGGGGCCGCTAGGGAACACATCAGGCCGATTCTGTTCAAATTACATTGGCTACTAGTCACTACCTGGGCCCAATTCAAAGTGCTTGTTTTGACATATAAAGCCCTAAACGGCTCGGGCCCTGGATACCTGAAGGACTGCCTCCTTCCATATGAACCTACCCAGCAATTATGATCTAGCCAGGTGCCCTCCTGAAAGAGCCATCCCTCAAGGAGGTAAGAGGGATGGCGGGTAGACAAAGGGCCTTTTTGGCAGCTGCCCTCAGACTATGGAACGCCATCCTGAGGGAGATTCGTCTGGCGCGAACATTGATGATGTTTCGGCGCCAGGTCAAAACCTTCCTGTTCCAAAAGGCTTTTAATTGAAATAATATCAACTGTGGGTCCCGATGGCAATTTTTAGAGTACTGTGTTTTTAATTGTATTTTAATCATTTTATCTTTTTATTGCCTTTAAATTGTTGTAAGCCACCCAGGGTAGTGTGGGCGACATATAAGTTAAATAAATAAAGTAAATAAAATAAATATTGCTCACCACTGTTTCCTATGATGGCTTGAACGGATAATTTGCCTGAAAGGCTAGTTTCTGAGACAAGTACCTCCTAGATGTGAGAATAGAGAGACAGGAGGAGGGAGAGGATGTTTTCTCATTGCTGTTGCCTCAGATGGGCTGCACACGTTGCTGTCTAGAAAACTTCCTGCCTCCCTCTCTGCAGATCTGCTCACATCTAGGAAGTACTTGTCTCCAGGCAGTGATGACCTTGCAACTTAGGCTGTCGTTATCGATCTACTTCAGCAGCTAACATATAATGCAATCCTGTAAAGTCATGGGATTCAAGCTATCATAAACTATTTTATAAGCCAACATATAATGCACATACAAAGAGGGATGGGTAGGTAGGAGACCTCCAAGTGGACAATTGCTGGATAGGATTGGATGAGGGGAGGTTTAAATCCTCAGCCTAAGCCATAAAGTCCTTTGCTGTGCAAGGGTGCATAGGAAGAAGATGTTCAGCATAGCAGTAGCTGGAGATGCCCCATCTCCCCAAGCTACAAACTGTTTATATATATACTCTGTGTGTGTGTGTGTGTGTGTGTGTGTGTGTGTACTATGTATGTGTGTGTGTAAAAAACACACACATATATATACACATATATATGTACCTCCTGCCAACCTAGCGGTTTGAAAGCATGCAAATGCAAGAAGATAAACAGGGACCACCTCGGTGGAGGGGTAACAGCGTTCTGTGTCTAATTCGCACTGGCCATGTGACCACGGAAGATTGTCTTCGGACAAACGCTGGCTCTATGGCTTGGAAACGGGGATGAGCACCGCCCCTAGAGTTGAACCCGACTGGACAAAAATTGTCAAGGGGAACCTTTACCTTTACCTTATATATGTACCACAGAATGCACAGTATGTGTGTATTTGAGTGTTCATAATGTGCTTGCTAGAACCAGATTGTTGTTTTAGCATAGAATCAGAATGTATCTGTAGTCACCCAGGTGGCTGTAAAAGGCAGGTGTCAGTTAGAGGTCTGTTAGACAGGGACCGGGATATAACCAGATACAGAGTATTACAAGATATGATGCAATAAGTGACAGGGCTAAACTATGTAGACTAAGATAGGGCTGACAGGGTCCCATACAAAATGTACCTCAGACAAGCAGACAGAAACACAGAACAAAGAACAGGTGTAACTGAACTATAATATGTACAAGGGCTAAATACGTTTCCCCAAAAATAGGACAGTGTCTTATGTTAATTTTTGCTCCAAAAACACATTAGGGAATATTTTATTTTTTTCAAGTAAAACAATCTACATTTATTCAAATACAGTCATGTCATCTTCTTCTGGTTGCTACACAATGCTGCACAATGGTGGAGGGCGGGGTTTCACTTAACTGGGGCTTATTGGGGGGGTAGGGCTTATATTATGAGCATCCTGAAAAATCATACTAGGGCTTATTTTCAAGTTAGATCTTATTTTCAGGGAAACTGGGTATTACAAATGTAAAAATATAATAATAAAGAGAGATAATGATTTACCAGAGAATGTCTGTCAAATCAAACCAAGCACATCTAAGCATTAAATGTTATGTTATGTAGATTATATATGTTTATAAATCAGTAGAAGTTATTTATTGTTTTAACCAACTCACTAGTGATTATTTTAATATGCAATTGCTGGTACAAACACACACAAAAAGGGAGAACATCATTTTACTCTATATAAATACAGTGGGGTCTTTACTTAAGAACGGCCCGAGTTAAGAACATTTTGACTTAAGAACCGCTCTCATAGGAAAATATTGACTTGACTTAAGTACTTAGATTTGAGTTACAAACTGAAAAAAACCACGTGGGAGGCAGGGAAAGTGCAAAATTTGAACTTTCAGTTAACTGTTGGCCAGTGAAAAGGGTGCCTGTCTGCTTCCTCACTCCTTCCAGCGTTTAGAGAGTGGATTGGGAGACAGTCTTCAGACTGCCTGGTACTGTATTTTCCCTGCCTTCCCTGAACCTCTCTTGACCTAAGAAAAAAAGAAACAAAATATCCCCCTCTAGTGGTCGAAGGCGGAATAGCAGCTTCCCATTAGTTTCTATGGACGGAAAAGAGCAGATACGGATCAAATGGTTTTCAATGCATTCCTATGGGAAATGCAGATTTGACCTGAGAACTTTTTGACTTGAGAACCGCCTTCTAATACGGATTAAGTTCTCAAGTCAAGACCCCACTGTAGTAGGTTTTTTTATCTAATTGTTTCCAACTGCACTGTATGCTAATTCTGCTAATTTATAGGTTATTATAATTTATTTATTATAACAAAAAACCAACATAGACTGGGGCCCCAGTAAGTGCCTGAGGTGACCTGGTTTGCAGTCCCAGGTGAGATCACAGCAGAAACCCCTCCCATACCCTTCCCAACAAATGGATATCCACTCCTTCATATAATTTAGCAGTTATTTGTGAAACACTCCGCAGGTTTGCTAAGTGACAATGTCCAGATTGATACAGTAGTTAAACAATCTCTCCAAATCATGATTATAAACCCTGTTTTCATCTTGGTTTCTGATCTTAGTTGGAGAGATCACTTGAAGCACCACTTGCTGGTTCAGATGCTATGGCAAACTTTGATTTAAGAGACGTGGAAGTGTAAGAAATTAGCAGTGGGCACTTTTAGCCTGCGTCTTCCATCTGTAATTTTGGGATAAGAATACTGTTCTACAGGTACATTTTAAGGATTATAGAAAAATAACTTATCAGAAGTTTTTTATACACTAAAATTGGTATCTGAAGACTGGTGATGGTGGTACTGATTATGGTAGACTTTGAGAGTGTTAGTTCTGTGTCCCTTCTGATTCAGGAAGCACTGTCAGGAGACTTGATCTACTCAATTATCCCGTTTTTCTCTATACATATCCTTAGTGACATATCTCAGACAGGTATCACTAACCTTCCAGCAAGAGGACTGGAAAATCTTAAAGAACTGATGGCTCAAAATACATGGACTCTGAAGAAATTCCCTCCAATTAAGACTTTTCCGTATCTAACTCATGCGGTGCTCTCATACCCAAGTCACTGCTGTGCTTTCAAGAACTGGAAAAAAGCCAAGGGGTGAGTCATACATTTTAAATTACAGTTTAAACGTTCTGGGTCCTGTGTATCTTCCACATGTACCTGTCCACCGACTAATGTCACATTGTGTTGCCCTTCTTCAGCTATTCCCACTTTTGTAAACATGACAAGTACAGAATCTATTTGCAGGACGGTCTTTCATGCAGGGGCACCCCAACTGTGGAATTTGTTCCCTACAGGGCTCAGCTGGCATTCTCGTTATTATCATTTTGGCATCAGGTCATGTGATGAATTTTTAATGTGAAGAGCTATCTAATTAAAATGTAGATATAACACTTATAACAATTAACACTTGATCTGGAGGTTAAGCTTGGCTCCAGAGCCACAATTTTTCATATTTCAGAGAATGACATCCATGTGTGGGGGACATAATGAATGTTTTCTCATTGGATCCTTTGCTTTTGCTCAAAATGTATCTCACGGGAAATTCTTCCTGTGTCTTCCTTTAGAATTCTGGAATCCTTGTTATGCAACCAAACTAACAATTACAACTTCCGCAAGAGAAGGTCTACTGATGCCTTGAGGAGTCCCTTTCACCAAGATTATATGGAAGAGTATTCAGATTGGACTGATGCAGTATATGATGAAAACTCGAAATTTAAGGATGTGTATGAGAATCCTCATTATTATGTCTTTTTTGAAGAGCATGACAATAGAGAAATTGGGTTTGGCCAACAGCTCAAGAATCCACAAGAGGAAAGTATCACAACATTTGACAGTCATTATGACTACATAATCTGTGCAGGTACTGATGATATTAGTTGCACTCCAGGACCTGATGAGTTCAACCCTTGTGAAGATGTGATGGGATACAAATTTCTAAGGATTGTGGTATGGTTTGTGAACTTGCTTGCCATTCTGGGCAATGCTTTTGTTCTTTTTATTCTGCTCACCAGCCATTACAAGCTGACCGTCCCACGCTTTCTAATGTGTAACTTAGCCTTTGCTGACTTCTGTATGGGATTATACCTTCTCCTGATTGCTTCAGTGGATCTTTACACCAGGGCAGAGTACTACAACCATGCCATTGATTGGCAGACGGGTCCTGGTTGTAACACAGCTGGTTTTTTTACTGTCTTTGCTAGTGAACTGTCTGTCTTCACCTTGACTGCAATCACCCTGGAACGTTGGTATGCTATTACCTTCGCCATGCGCTTGGACAAGAAAATCCGTCTCTGGCATGCTTCTGTTGTCATGCTGGTTGGTTGGCTTGTGTCTTTTCTTCTTGCCTTTTTACCATTGGTTGGAATCAGCAGCTATGGAAAAGTCAGCATTTGTCTTCCCATGGATACTGAAACGCCTTTGGATCAAGCATATGTTATAACTGTTTTATTATTGAACATCATTGCTTTCATTGTCATTTGTGCCTGTTATATAAAAATCTATGTCACTGTGCGGAACCCTCAGTATAAGTCAGGGGACAAAGACACCATCATCGCCAAAAGGATGGCTGTCCTGATCTTTACTGACTTCCTATGCATGGCACCAATTTCGTTTTATGCCTTGTCTGCTGTGATGAACAAGCCATTGATAACGGTCAGTAACTCAAAAATCCTGCTTGTCCTGTTCTACCCACTCAACTCTTGTGCTAACCCCTTCCTTTATGCTATCTTCACGAAAGCTTTCCAAAGAGATGTCTTCATCTTACTCAGCAAGTTTGGATTGTGTGAACATCAGGCTCAGGTCTACAGGGGCCAAACCGTCTCCCCCAAGAACAGCAGTGGTTCTTACAGCCAGAAGAGCAGCCGAGGGACGGGTCAGAATCTTACAAATCTTCAAAGCAAGCCTCATGACTCATCTGGAGACTACTACCCAGCAGTCATCCTGCATACTCAAGGAATCATGGAAGAGAGTAAGCTGACCGTGTTATAGCACCTGAATGCTTACACTGTGGTTGGGTCAATAAAAGGCTAAGTTAGAAATCCTATCAGTAATGATGTCATAAGGATAAGACTTCTCTCACTAAAGAAAGAATCATTTTTAGATGTGTTCTGATTTTCATGAGCCTTTAATCTAACCCTAATAAGCCTTTAATCTGTCTATGAGAATATCAGGAGATTCTTGTGAGATTAGACCAGAGTCCTATCTAGCCTAGCATTCAATTTCCAGGGTGATGAGGTAGATTCCTATAGGAAGTCCACAAGGGGAACATGAGCATGGCAGCATACTCCTGCTCAGGTTCCTCAAGGACTCACAGTCATTGTTAGTCTTATCCTTTGTCAATTTCTCTAATTCCCTTTTTAAGCCATCCCTACTGATGACTATCAGTAGATCTTACAGGAAAGAATTCCATATGTTGTATGAAGACAGACTTTCTTTGTCCTGAGAAACAATTTACTTTTATCGGTTTACCCCGTGTTCTCTTGCCTACTCTCTTCAGACTATGTACAGTTTTATAATTTTTTTTGCCGCATCTCTTCCTGCCCAACTTTTCTGCCTCCCTTCCTGCCTTCCTCTTTAGCTAAATACTCCAAATGTTATAATTGTTCTTAAGGGAGAATTGCGCCAGCCCTTTGATCATTTTGGTTATCTTTTTCTATGTTTTCTGTAGCTCCAGTGTGTATTAGGATCACACCACAGATTTCAATAAAGTCATTATTTGTATCAACATTTCTGTTTTCCATTTCTTTCAGAATGGTCCCCAACACTGAATTAGCCTTTTTGCCAGCAGCAGCATTTGCACACCGGACTGCTGATCTCACTGAGAATGTCTAACATAACTGCAGTCCATTTCATGGTCCGTCAACACATCAGACTGCAGCAGCAGAGATTTAAAAATATCTCATCCCACTCCTGCATACATCATTTTATTGTTGCTTACATTGAGCCTCTCTTCACCTTTTTAATCCCTTTCCTTGGTTTAGAGAGATCTCTCTGGAGTTCTTCGTAATCTCATTTTTCTTTTACCATCCTAAATAATTTAATATCATCAGTGAATGTAGCTCAACTCCATATTTTGTACACGGGGCAATCTTACAGATAAGTTACAAATTTTTGTTGGATAATATAAAGTTTCTCATGGGACGTTTTCTTAAAAACCCATGGATGGATATTAGAGATGGGGGTATTCACATTTGTATACGAATACTCCTGCACAGGTGGACATAATGAGGGTCCGGCCCCCTGGGGCCAGACTGTCTACTCACCTGTCCGCTGCACTCGTGGGCTCTGCGCTCCCTTCCAATTGCTCCGGAGAAACATTAGGGATGTTCTAAATTCTGAAAAATTACTGCTGCTACTGACATCTTCAGCCTTATGTGGCATAAATTATGGTAACAGGATTTCAGCCGATATGTTTACATAATCAGGATTTTTTAAAAAATCAAAGCAATCTTTGTCAACTTCCTTAAAAATTGAACAAATGCTTCTGTACAGTCCAGTAAATTCTGACTCATGAGAATCCTTGCCGGGGTTTCCAAGGTATACAGTATTCAGATCGGTTTACTAGTTCCTTCTTCTTGTGGTGCTCTAAGACTGTGCAGCTTGCCCAAAGATACACAAGCTAGCTTCTTCTGGGAGGCACACTGGGGAATTGAACTCCTGACCTGGTACTCCTACATTGGGTGATCCATTCAGCTCTAAACAATATGGATCCAGATTAGACATGATTGATTAAAAATCATGAGATCTGGGGCCTAACAAATCATTCAGGAAACCTGCAAGCTCATGCGATCAGAATGTTAAAGTAGGTTGCAACTAGTGTAGGCCTATTTGAATCACTGGAACCTATGAAGGAGTTGACTCATCAAATCCCTACTAATTCAGTGGGTCTATATTAGTGTGCCTTACTCTGCTAAGTATAATATAATATTGGACAATGTTTTCAAGGGCAGAGAGTAAACAGGCTGTTTGATGCTGTTCAGATTCAAGTGGTCCCAATACCTGGAGACTGGCAGCTGAGTATAATATACACTCAGGCAGCTACCTCACAGGGTTTTTTTTTAATGAAAAGTATATCCCATGCTCTGATGCAAAATTTGTCCTGTCAGACACTGATGGCAGTACCTTTGAAGGGCCCTCATCATCATCCTGGAACAGCAAGTGGCTAAGTGGTTTCAGTTAGTGTGACACAATAAGGTCTGCTTTCCAAATCACAGAGTCAGAACTTAGAAGTGTACATAGGAAATCTCTACAGGACCAAGATTGCCATTTGGCTCCAAGCCCTGCAATGAAAAGATGGGGGTGGGGACACCTCCTGTGCTGATGTGGAAGCCGAAGAGAAGAGGGCTGGGTGGGGAACAGCCAGACATTCAAGGCCTAAGTGCACTTGAAGTACAAAGAGCTCCTCTGGGTCACGGCCAGGGTGCCAGCTAGAACAGCATTGTGCTTCCAGCAAGCGGCCAGCCAGCATGCTGGGAAACCAGAGACACAAACATGCAAAAGGACCACCAGTTGTCTCCTAAAGCTTGTCACTGGTCTCGGACATGAATCAGAAGCAATAAGCTTCAGGGTTATGTCCACCAGAACAAGAGGAACACAGTGCTTGCCCGAGTAGCCCAAAGAAACTGGCTAAATATGAATTATTTGCAATATACATATACATACACACACACACACACACACACATATACACATACATATATACATATATATAAGGTAAAGGTAAAGGTTCCCCTTGACAATTTTTGTCCAGTCGTGTTCGACTCTAGGGGGCGGTGCTCATCCCCGTTTCCAAGCCGTAGAGCCAGCATTTTGTCCAGACAATTTTCTGTGGTCACATGGCCAGTGCGACTTAGACACAGAACGCTGTTACCTTCCCACCGTGGTGCTCCCTATTGATCTACTTGCATTTGCATGCTTTTGAACTGCTAGGTTGGCGGGAGCTGGGAAAAGCGACGGAAGCTCACTCCGTTGTGTGGATTCAATCTTACGACTGCTTGGTCTTCTG